AATAACCTTTTTTTTTTTTTTTTAATTCAGTGGCGGAAACAGACTTCCATACATATGTGCCAGGGTTAGTGTAGTTTACTAAAACCTAAAAAAAAGTTTTCATTACTTGAAATAAAATAAATGTTAACTGAAATAGAACAAAAAATTAAACTTATTTAAACTTGGCCAACTTAAGCAGCATTTCTTATTTTTATTTAGCTTAAATTAATAATAAAAAAAAAAACTATATAGACACATTGGTAACACTTTAATATAGGGACCAATTTTCACTATTAACTAGTTGCTTATTAGCATGCCTATTATTAACACATTGGCTGTTAATTAGTACTTATAAAGCACATATTCTGCATGAGCATATTCTACATCTCTAATCCTACCCAGTACCTCAACTTAATAACTACCTTACTAACTATTAAAAAGCAGCAAATTAGTAGTTTACTGAGGCAAAAATCGTAGTTAATGGTTTGTTAATAGCGAGAATTGAACCTTAAAGTGACCGACATTTAAAACAACAACTAATAAAAATGACAAAAACACAACAAAATTACTAAAACTTTAACTAAAGTTAACATGAAAACAAAATATACAAATTCTAATTTAAAATATGAATAAAAATTATAGTAGTATCTCAATGAAACTAAAATAACGCTGATATGCACTAAAGCTTTGATTTTAACACCAATAATATTGAAAGATTCACTTTAAGAGTTTATTTATTTTTTTGTTTGTTTATTTTCATTATTATTTATTTGACAGTGTTTTATAGTGGTTCTGTTCCAAAACTTAGTGAGCTGAGTGAGCTCTCTCTCTTTTATTTCTACACTAAATTCCTTCATCATGCACTCTTGCTCTCTTTCATTCACTCACTCTTTCTCATTTCCCTAGCTTTTCTCTTTCTCTGTTCCCCGATTCATATTTTTTTCTGTTTTAAATGCACCACAGGCTCGTAATTCGTGACAAAGTCATTCTTGGCGGAGCTTGAAAAGACCAGAGGTTTTTTACGTTGCCCTTGAGCGCTCATGCCATTGAAAAGCTGAATTCATAAATGGATGGAGGATATTTATATGCTGAGAGGGAGACCCAGGGTTCGGAGCACCTCAGCGGTTCTCCAGATTTCTCACTTCCCTCTCGCCGTCTTTCTTGTTGCCAGCTTGTTGTTTCATTAAGTGCTTATTTCGCCCACTTCCCCTCCACATGCTGTTGCAGAGACGCAGACTGTCCTAATATTCCTTCCTCTAAGATGTTTCGAGCACTTTAACAGAAATGAGTTCAATGTTTGTACGTGGTTTATTGGAAAACCGTACTGTAAGTAGAGCGTGATGTTGTGGACGAGAAAGACGTTTTATTGGCAGTCGGTTGATGGATATTGGATGTACAAGAGAAGGCTTTTTGACACAGTCACCATTTAAAACACCCTGCTTCCACTAGTTCAAATATTGAATATGGTTAAATATTTTAAAATATATCAAATATTGTAATAATAAAATAAAAAAAAAATATATATATATCATTGCAAACGTTGGCTATTTTTCCTGTTTAATGCACAGAACTACAGAATGCCAAAGGGTAAACCTTTTTCCCCTTAAAAATAAATAAATAATAGCCTTTTTAAAAATAATAATAATTTATTATATTTTAATTTTGGGAAATAATGTATAATTACTATTTTTTCTGTTTTTTTTATTTTTAAATAATCATTAATTTGTGATATTAAAAATAATAATAATAATAAAAGGAAATAGATTTTTCTGTTTTCTAAACATGCACATTGGAATACAGGCCAAAAAGTTAAAAACGAATTATTTTATTTATTTATTTTAAACAGCATTATTTTATTTTCAATATTATAAAATTTAAATTATTATAAGCATTGTATTTATATTTATTAATAATTATATTATTATAAAATTATCATTTTATTAATTAAAATAGTAATTTAATATAATTATGTTTTTGGAAGAAAAAATATATATTTTTAATGATATTCTGGTCTCAATATATGGCTCAGATTCCACCTTGAATGTAATTCTATGTAATTCACACGTTTTACGGTCATATTCATGCCAAATTTTTGTCCCTATCCTCAACTATGAGCAATAGCAATTAATTAACAATTAATAAAAAAATATATAACACAATTAATTATAAATATATAACACAATTAAAATGGCACTTCATGTCAAACTTGAAGTGCAAGAGATGTTATTCTGCACTTTGAGCACCTGTTGATCTATACAGGTGGGGTAGTTTATGCCTCATGAATTATTCCCTATTTTACCCATGACCCCATTTAAGTGCTGAAGTATTAGTGTGTGTGTGCGTGTGTTCCTGTGTGCACGTGTGTGTTCATTTGTGCGGTAATTGCTGGCTGTAGGGCAGACGTGTGTGAGCATAATCAGTAATGCCTGATGAATGGCTGTTTTCAGTCTCTAAGCATTCTGGGATTCCGAGCCAGGTCTCTCCCGCCACTATTTGCCTTTCGTGTCACAGAATAAACGCCCGTTCTCATCCTGTCTGTACTAAACTCCCAGCATTCTCGTGTCCTTTGGGTTGTGCATTAGGTGTCAAAAGAGCCTCTGGCTTCTTTGTGACCATGTTGTTGATTTGTGTGTCGTTTTCCCTTCCTGATGGCTCTGCAATCAAGCTCCTCTGAGAACGAGAAGGGCACAAAAGAGGATGTTTGGGAACAGTTGGGTGTGAAGGCCTCATGTACTGTGCCGTGTCTGTTTGCCGTCTGTTCTGTCAGCGCTGAGAAAACACCGGTACAAGAGACTTTCCCATGTCTTCATAACCATGGGTTTATGAGGAGACACCTCCTAAGAACCGCTAAATGTTGTTTAGTATTCGCTAACTTCATTTGATAGAAATTGTGAGTGCAATCATTTTTAAGTACACTACAACAGGACTAACTACAATGTGACTAATGATTTGTGGCTAGCAAAGAATCATGACTTTTCATGAAACGTTAACTCTATTGATAACATAATATGCACAACACGATTTACTCTTTTGTGTTTTTTTATTCATTTCTATAGTTTAATAATTTCTACTATTTTTTTAATAATTAGCATATTCTTTATTATTATTATTTTATTATTATTTAATTTTTGTTTTAAAAAATGTGTTTATATTATATTTATGTTTATATATTTGTATGTATATATTTAATTTTTTATATATATTTCTTAATTTTTTCTCCTATTTTATTTTGTTTATTATTTTATTTATGCTTATATATTTTATTAAGTATAACCAATACAGTAATGTATTTGGGTAAAAGATACCTAAGATATAAATCATGTCAGCTAGCTCAACTAGCTTAACTTAATAGCTACCATAATAATAATAATAATAATAATAATAACAATAACAATAACAATAATTTTTTAGTTATCTGTGTTGTTGTTGTTTTTTTCTTTTTTTTCACATTTGATAGCATTCCCAGCATGGGCGACATTAAAATTGTTAGTCATTGAATCCCTGATGTCGACCCTGCTGCAATTGGAGCGCTTAGCCAAGCGCTAAATACCCTCAACGTGGTTTTGCAGCGTTGAGCAATGTAACCAATCACAGACATATCTGTTGATTTCTTAAACGCAATGGCCAATCAGAAACGTTTTGTCAGAATTCACTCACCGCTGAAAACCGTAGTTTTTAAGTGTAAGCTAGTTTTAGACGCTCGTGAATCATCTCATGACTAAGTGCAGACGCGATGTAAATAAGAGATTCATTGTGCAGTTTAGAGAGCTTCATTGATTATAATGGAACTTTGTAAGATTGCGATGAACAAAGATGAGTGACACTTTTTAGTGATAAAGGGAGCACGCTTTGCGCACTTTCTAGGGTATAATCCATTCAGAATTTGTATGAAACTTTCGTTTTTCGGACACATAGGCTACACCCTGCAACGTTTAGGGGATGACATCCGCATAATTATGCGGGATTCACTCTCGAAATAGCAGTGATTGGCAATGGACGGAACATAAAATATGTTGATTTAATTCTGGAACTGGTCCTGGCCAAACCTCCACAGCACGCATCCTGAGCGAGATCTAATTCACGGACCAAAAGCGTGTGTAAACTGCATTGAGATCTGGACATATCAACCAGTAATTTCATTTCATTTCCAGTAACGGACAGTAGAAAGTTCAGCAATGAATGGTATGCGATTTATGACAGAATCTAGTCCCACAACTGATCGTTTATTTTTTCCTGGCTGTGTCTCGCCTTTGGTAACAACGATTCAAAACGGAAACATTTCAAGTGACACGGGAAAAAGACACGGAAAACTTCAGTGAACATCAGAAAAGCAGCGTGCACATTTCTGGTTAAAAATGAAAGGCCATCAACTGACAAACGGGAAGCATCACCATTCAAGTCAGCAGCAAGAGCCAAAGCAGTTTACTAAACGGTGGCAACCTCTTTAAGTTATTCTTGACTGTGTTGGATTGACTGCTTTGATGCGTTGCAATACGGTAGGGCATTGTTTTGATGCTTACATCCGGAAAAAAAAAATCTTTATTTTTATTTATTTATTTCATTTATATATTATTATTTATTTTATTTTTTTTTCTTCTTGCCCCCCCCGACTCAAGAGTCAAATGTCGCCCATGATTCCCAGTATCATCTCCACCCTAAATTCAACAGATCTGTGTTTGTGTGTATTTACAGGTTGACAGTGACACTATCTGGAATGAAGTTCACTCGTCCAGTGCTGCTCGTCTGGCTGTGGGATCTGTAGTGGATCTGGTGTTTAAGGTGGCTTCAGGAGAGCTGAGGGTAAGACTAACACTGTCATGTAAAAGTGAATTTTGCATCTAATGATCCCTTTAATGCTCATCCAATCAGAATTTAGACTCTGAATTATGCGTTTCATATATGTGATTTCTATAGAAGCTTATTTCTGCCACAGAGTAATAATATAAAAAAGGTAATTGGGACTTATCTCATAATTCCGACTTTTTTCCTCACAATTCTGACTTGTTTTCATTTTTTTTTCTTGTGAGAAGAAAAGTCAAAATTATGACATGTAAACTCATATTTTCAAAATTACAAGATGCAAACAGAATTCTTAAAAAAAAAAAAAAAAAATTGCGAGATGTACGTAAACTCAAAATTCCAAGAAAAGGTCAAAAATATGAGATGCAAACACAGAATTAAAAAACAAAAAAAATCTCAATTGCAAGATTTAAGCTCAAAATTCCAAGAAAAAAATCACAATTATGAGATGTAAACTCATAGTTCCAGGAAAAAAGTCCAAATACTGGGATGTAATTTATGAGAAGAAAAGTAAAAAAATATGAGATGTAAAAATTGCGAGATATAAACATGCAATTATAAGATAAAAAGTAGCAATTATCCGCTTCATATTTTTATTCCATGGCAGGAATAAGCTTCCATAGATTTCCCCTCCACCTTGTTTGAATTGTAATAAGGTAAACTGTAGCTTCCCCAGTGTGTGTGTCTGGGGTCAGGTGACCTGGGGCATCCTCAGAGCTCACAGGAAGTGACCCAAAAGACACAATCTACTCACATAATGCAAACATTCCATAGCGTAACCTAACCCTAAGTGAGCTGCCGCCCACCCCAATAACATAACACACTGAAATACATCTATCATCGCATTCAAAAACCCTTGCTTCAGCCTCAAACTTGTCCAAAAAACACAATACACCTACATCATCCACTATCACCAGCTGCAATCCAGACACATTTCATTCTCTGTTTCGCACTCTTTCTCTGGATATAATTATATCCTCTGGAGTGAGGAAGGATAATAATATCATGAAGCTGCAGGTTGCCCCAGTGTGAACTGTGAGGGAACGCAGCATCATGCGTTAGCAGACTTAAAGTCCTCTCGCTAGCAGTAGCTATGGGACGGCATGTGGCAATATGGTTGCATCCACCTGGAAATTATGTTTTTGCAAATAAACACGCATTCATCAGTGTACTGCTGTGTCCAGAGACCAAGCTCAATGCAACGCATTCCAGTGTTTTCTGTTCTCACTGAAACTGAAATTTTGCATGAAATGACAAAATCACAGCTAATCAAAAAAAATAATATGAATGTACAGTCAGCCAAAATATGTATAGTACAAAAAAAAAAAAAAACTAGGGTGAACATTGCAA